CAACTTCCTTTACAAGATTGTGACTGGTGACGAAACGTGGTGTTTTCAATATGATCTCGAAACGAAACGCCAGAGTGCTGAATGGAAGGCCCCGGACGAGCCAAAACACAAAAAGTCGCGCATGGAGAAGTCAAAAGTGAAGACAATGCTGATTTGTTTTTATGATTCCAAAGGTATTGTCCACAAAAAATTTATTCGACCCCGCAAAACGTTAATGCGGTATTCTACATCTATACATGCAGCATGCTTCTTTAATAAATAGTGCTACTTCCGTGGCAAATAATGCAGATTCAATAATCGTATTGGGAGATTTCAATTTACCGTGTGCTTCGTGGAAAGCTTTCGATGACTATATCGTACCGATTTGCAATCGGTCATGTTTTCATGAGTTTTTCGAAAAAATGTCCGAGTTGGGTCTGAACCAAATTAATTTAATTCCGAATGCTTAGATTTAGTATACGTTGATGCCTCTTCAAAATGTTCCGTTATTCAGAGTAATCCTCTTGTTCTACCAGAGGCCTCGTATCCTCCTGCTTTGGAAATATCTGTCGAAATCATGAGCAATGTACGGGATAATAATTATCAAACTTCGTGCTTCCGTACTCGGTTCAACTTTGCAACAACTAATTTTAAAAAGTTAAATACAGAACTTTCTACAATATCATAGCCTAATTATAATGGTGATATTGAATTCAATGTCTCTCCTTTTAATAACATTATTACGAAATTATTTAAAAAGTAAAAAAGATTGTTGTAAGTAATCCAAAATCCTTTTATGATTTCGTCAACTCCAAACGCAGGATTTCCAAATTTCCGTCCGCGATGAAATACAAATATATCATTTCAACTGACAATGATATTATATCCAATATGTTTGCAGAATTTCATTCAAGTCAAACTACTGTAATAATTCTTACAAAACTTTTTCTTATCAGCACGTGCTGTGTTCGAATACTTTAATTAACGCTCCAATTATTTCTGAAGAAGACGTACTACTTAATTTATATAAGTTAAAACCATCTTTTAGTTACGGCCCAGACTTGCCTTTGACAAGGATATTTAATTCCTCTCTTAAACACGATATATTATATTTCCTTCAATATGGAAACAGTCATTTATAATTCCTTTGCATAAAAGTGGACTTAGATCCAACATTGAAAACTATAGAGGTATCGCAAAACTATCAGTTATACCTAAACTTTTTGAAGCTATCATCACTGACCATATAACCTTTTCGATTTCTCCGTTAATTTCCTCATCTCAGCATGGATTTCGTAAAAAGAAATCGACTCTAACAAACTTGCTTGAATTTGTAAACCATGTATCATTGGGTTTTAGGGAACATAAGCATACGGATGTTATATACACAGACTTTAGCAAAGCTTTCGATAAAGTAAACCTCTCGATTCTCATACATAAACTTGATCTGCTGGGCTTTCAGCCAAGATTCCTTCAATGGGTATCTTCCTATCTTTATAATAGAACACAACGAGTGATATTTAAGGATACACCTTAAGATACAATTAATGTTTTTTCAGGTGTTCCGTAAGATAGTCATCTTGGCCCGATTCTGTTCTTGTTGTTTATTAACGATATCTCTTCAGTAATAGAATTCTCAAAAATTTTATTATACGCTGACGACGTAAAGCTTTTTAAATCATACACTTCAACTGAGGAAAGGTGTCTGTTGTAAATAGATGGTGTGATAGAAATGATTTGCCATTGAATCTGAATATATGTAAGATGAAGTGCTTTTCTCGTAGATCTGTGCACCCCTCTTCTTATGTATTTAAACACCATATTCTGGAGCAAGTTTTTAACTATGTTGATTTGGGAGTTAATATGGACCCTAAGCTTAATTTTTGACTTTTATCGTTGGTCTAAAGAATTTAGAGATCCGTATATTACTAAAACACTTTATACAACTTTGGTTAGACCTATATTGGAATATGGCTCTGTTGTATGGAACCCTAACTACCAAATCCATTCTGAGAAGTTAGAGTCTGTTTAAAAACAATTTTTACTTTTCGCCTTAGAGCGATTCCGATGGGATTCTAGGGTAAGTCTACCTCCATACACTAGTTGTTTAAAACTTATTAATCTACCTACACTTTCTAGTCGTAGGGAAATGCTTGGCATAATATTGTTAGTGAAAATTTTGATTGGAACGGTTTGCAGTTCTTTTCTCCTGTCTTAAATTAAATTTAATATCCCGATTCGCTTTTCGAGACAACTTAGACCTTTACTGTTAAAATCCTGTAGATCAAATTTTGAACTAAACGAGTCATTCCGCCGTATATGTCATGATTTTAATTCTCATTCAAGCACATTTGACTTATCTGACTCACTTTTCAAAATTAAAAAGACTTTATTGTTTTCTCTTAATAAATGAAACTGTAACAATTTATTATATTGAAACTATAAATCTTAGCCATTGAAATTTTTGTTTCTGTAGCTGAGTAGTTTTAGATCTCAACATTTAAAAACCTCTCTTGCCTTTTCTGACTCGGCTAATTCCGCACGTATGCGAATTGCGCCTCTCGCGTCGGTTGGCCGGGAGGAGGGTAATCGTTGGTTTATTATTATTATTATTATTATTATAACGGGATTAAAAGCACAACTTTGAATAAAGGAAAAAAATTAGATAAATAAAAAGAGAAAATAAAATAAAACAAAAGATGATTCAGCACAGAAATTTGAATAGTTAAACTTTAAATTCAGCACTTAGAGCACTCATACTTAGCTTTTAATTCAAATTGAGCAATAAAGTCACTAAAGTTAATAGTTTTATTAAATTACAAATTTTGATAGCTATCTATACTAGAGTTCAAATTATGAATCAAAATAATCGGAGATCCAACCCATGTCCAGCATATCCAATGAACTCAAGAACGGAAATCCAATTGAATAAATCGCAGCTTCCTTGGCGTCGATATATTTGTATGACACCAAGTCTCATGTATATTATTGAATTTAATCGATTGATTACCACATTTTTGTTGCAAAAATCGTTCTTTCTGACAGCCATTCAAGATTTTTATATTATGTGTGTACACTGGGAAATATATTGTTGATGAGGGTATTTTGTGAGTTGATGATTGTGCAGGAATCAGTCAGTAATTTTATGCATGTTTTCATGTTCAGCAAATTTTCTATTGCCAATATAAGAGTTGATTCAACAAAGTTTGTTGTATTTTTATTTATATCTTTCGGTATACTATCTAAATGGTATGTAATGTACACGAATGGAATGGAACGTATGGTATGTACACGACTTAATTATAATATTATAGCACGATCGCGTTAGAAAAAAATACTCGTTGGCCGTTTCGAGATCCACAACTAAATGGATAACTGCAGAATCCTGTTTATGAATTTGGAAGCCGAAGATACATCAGGCAGTGATATTGGAGCTAATAAATCGGCCAATTTGGTAATATGTTATTTCATCTTTTTCATTTATTGGAGAAGCACTTACATCAGTATTTTCAATTCTAAATACACATTCACTTACTTGTAAATATATTATATATGATGCTTTTCATCGCACAGCAGAACTAAACATTAATATAAGTATTGAATATGTTCAGGGTATAAAAATAATTTTCAATGCTAAATCATGTAAATTTTTTCCAAAAATTAAAAAATATTAATAATTATTTGGGCTGGACCATTTAGATGTATAAAAAATAGATGTTGCCCGATTCTCAGATCTACCCGATAAACAAAACAAATTTCATGAAAGCGGTCCAGCTGATTCAGAGTAGTTTGGCAACAAACATCGTGACACGAGAAATTCATATATAAGATAAGTCCTAAGAGGTTTATAGGATTAAGTTAAATAAATAAAGCTACTATTAATACAAATGCAAATAATTCATTTAAAGTCGAATGAGTCAGTATCAGGAATGATAACTTCTTCAGATGAAATAGAAGAATGTACGGCAATATGATAACGACGCACCTAGGCCTATGAGAGGCCCATTGTGATACCACCGGGACTACTGTTCCCTCACTCTGTCAATACAACAAGGCTTTATTTGATTGCTGTGATCTCCGCCTGGAAAACACTGCAGTGGTCTGGTAAGCGGAAGGCGATTTTGGTGTCTAAAGTTGCGGAGAAGACACCACCTCCCACTCGATTATTTAGTTTGGATCCATCCGTGTAGATGCTAATTCCTGGATTAATGTCCACCTCGTTCGTTTCCCACTCCTTTCTGGTGGGGAAGGCAACATTGTGGACGGAATTTAGCTTTAATTCTATTGGATTGCAGAAATCCGTGGTTTTGGGTAGAAACGGGAACGATCTAAGTATTCTAGAATGCCCCTTGTTGCAGGCGACTCATTGGGAGGATTCCCTTAGTCTGAGAGCAGACTTTGCTGCCACTTGCTTACAGAACAGGTCTGTTGGCAATAAATGTAGAATGACGTTTAGTGCCTGGCTAGACGTTGTTCTAAGAGCTCCACTAATGCATATACTGGCTGCTCTTTGTATACTTTCCATACGCCTCACCGCATATTTCTTATCCATTATTGGCCCCCATACCAATATACCGTATGTCATGATTGGTCTGACAACTGCTGTATAGAGCCAATAAGCTATACGAGGCGTTAGCCCCCATTTGGGGCCCACCATCCTGTTACAAGTGTAGAGTGCTGTGGCTGCTGTCTTCACCCTAGCATCCAAGTTTTGTTTCCATGAAAGCTTCCTGTCTAAGATTAGTCCTAGATAGCTTGCCTTATCTCCAATTGTTAGTTCGCAACCATTTAGTACTGACGCCGTAACTACTGGAGTGTTATGCTTCCTGGTGAACAATACTAGCTCTGTCTTACCAGCATTTAAGTTTAATCCGCACGATACATCCCAACGGTTTATATCGTCCAGGATCGTTTGTATAAGGTTTGCGAGAGTATTAGGGAATTAACCTCTAACTGATACTGCCACATCGTCAGCGTAGGCGACAACATTTACCCCCTTCTTCTCTAGATCCCACAGCAACTTATTCATTATCCCTTGGGGTGTACCCCTTTGGACGGATCTGCACATCCTTGACGCTCCCAGCTTTGAAATTATTGAGCTGCTCGTAAGCATCTGTTCAATTAATTTTCTGAGAGGTTCAGAGATGTCCAGATCCTTAAGCGCACTCAGTATAGCCCTAGGCTGGATTTTATTGAAGGCTCCTTCTATATCTAAGAAGGCAATTAGAGTGTATTCTTTAACTTCTTGGGATTTTTCAATCTCCGGCACCACAGAACTCAGTGCTGTTTCTGTGGATTTTCATTTAGAATACGCATGTTGTGAACCAGCCAACTTATCTGGTCTTTTAAGAATGGTAACTAGCCAATCCATTATGTAATTCTGCGACTGCTGTAATTGAGCCGGGAATAGACCATCTGGTCCCGGCGACTTGAAGAGCTTGAAGCTATTTATTGCCCAGCGTACGTTGCTTTCTGACACTGTGTTTATAAGAGTGGAGTCTATTTCGGCTCCACTGTCTTGAGTATATTGAACAGTATGGCTTTCAGAGCTACCTGGGAAGTGGGTATCCATTAGTAGTTCTATTGACTCTTCACTGGATACCGTCCAGCTGCCGTCTGGCTTCTGAAGACAACCGATACTATGCACAGATTGTGCCATTATTTTCCTAAGTCAAAACGCTTCCGCCGTGCTCTCGATATCATTACAAAAAGATTTCCAAGAATTTCTTTTTGCTCTCCTAACTTCCTTCTTGTATGACCTAAGGAGGTTATAGTAATAATCCCAGGCTGACTCGCCTTGGGATTGCTTTGCTAAATTGAACTGCTTTCTGTAACTTTTTAAGTTCGAGAGACCACCAGGGTGGCCTAATTCTACCTCTACTTCGTGTTATTGGACAAGCCACTTCTAGTGCTTGCCGGCAAGATTCAATGAATTGATCAGCGAGGATGTCGAGATCCTCCTTACCTTTGGGCTGAAATGGCGGAATCATAGGGATACGTTTTTCCAGCTCTTGCATGTGCACCTGCCAGTTCGTTTTCCTATGATTCCTGAAGTTCATGGCTCTATCGGCCCTCTTTGCACGACACCAGCCGATAACTGCATGTGCTCGTTTCCCAGCTTACTGCTACTGTGTCGTTGTTGCTGTAATGATGTAATATAAAAACGTTAAGGTTTTTTTGCCATTATGCAGGCTCTGATTTTACCTTCACAATTAGCCATAAATAGCTTATAGCTCGGTGTCCTCAGTCCGCAAATACGCCCTCCATTAACCCATGGCTCGTGAATGAGGACAAACTCAGGCTGTTCTTCTGCCATGCGGTTAATTAGGGCTGCTGAAGCTAGTTTGCTGTGATGAAGATTAATTTGTAGAAGACGCATTAACTAATGTTGTTTCTGCGTCTTCCTGAGAGTTGCTTAAAAGCTCTCTCTCAGTATACAAGTTTAAGAGTCTGGCAGCAAGCTCAGACTCGGAAGAACACTCACCTTGCTCTATACTTTCTACATCGCTCGAGAACTCCATAGGATCTTTTTCTACTTCGCATGTCTCACTTTCCGATGCTAGATGGTCTGCAGCATCGGCGTCCGACTTGTACGGTGTAATCCTCACTTTCGTGAATCCGTAGTTTATCTCCTTGCCACTTTTCGCCAGCGGTTCAATGGATTCTTTTGTTAGTAATAGCAGAATCTGCATTGTGGCCCTTTTGGTCTCCACGCCAGATTCTGCTACGCTATCGTCAAACGCCTTGACGAACTTCCACCCCTCCGTGGGCAGACTCGGGTTGCAGGCTCTAATGGGCTGCATAATCTGATCCGGCTGTGATGATGTAGCCGGGATCCATACCCTTACCCTTGATCTGGATGGTATATCTTTTTTATCCACTGCTATCAGTTTTGCGCCCGGGTACACCTCCCGTACCTTGCTGATTGCTAAATAGCACTTCCAGCGCCACATTTGTCAGCGCAGCCTGCACCCATTTCCATTGGGTTCTGGGGACTCTTCCTTCGGGGTCCCCCTCATCCAGAACGCCAATGACAATTCGGTTCCGGGCCACTTCTGCAAATGATTTTGCGGGCGTCACGCCCTTTGTTTTTGGTCGTTTGGCTGACGGCTTAGCCTCTTCAGCTGACCTCTGTCGCTTTGCTGCCTTTACTGGAGATTCCAGTTTAAAATTAGGTATGACCGCCCTCGCGCAGTCAATTGATGCTAAGAGCTCCTTAGTCAGCTCTTCCTTGGTTGGCGACTGCAGCTCCATTAACCTCAATAGGTATGCGGCGCGTTGTCTCTCCGCATACCTTGCCTTTGCGGGGTGAATATTGAATGCGGGCCACTCTCTGTCAGATGCACTTCCAGCTGCAGCCCCTTTGGCATCTCCCCCTCCCCCCGCTTCTCAGTCGTGTTTTAACTGCAGGGTTTGGGCCTGGCTGCCTCCGGCGCTACTACTTTCTTGGGGCCAGCATTAGCTTCTGCCCCCTTCCTTGTGCCTGCCTTATCTGCGGGACCAAGCTTCGCTCCTGTCCTCTTGCCGATTGTTGCCGAGCTCGCTGCAAACGCTGCTCTTTTATGGGAGCAACTAGCTCCCTCCGGATTTTTTGGTGGAGATCCGGGCTCACTTGTATGTTTGTTTTTTGTTCATTTTGTTTAGGTTCATAAATGGTCCCACGAGTGTGGGGGAAAGTGTGTCCACTTGCGCATAGCCCCCGCTACGCAAGTAAGGTTATCACGTAAGCTCCGTTTGAGACTGGGCTATTTAAGGGCCCCCAGCCAGCTCCCTTCATAGTACCCCCGACCATGGTAAGGCTCCTTACCTGTATGCTGTGCTATTGAGGAACATCGAACACACAGGTAAGAAGTCTGACTACAATGAAATATTTAAAATTCGGTGTTCAAAATCTTTTTTTAAATAAAAATTGTGAAGTTTCAATCATGTTTCTGTAAAAGCAATTGAAGGAAAATTACAATTAGTACTGTTGAGGGTTGCAAATCGTGCATTAAAAAATTATTTAGTTATTTGAAAGAGAAAGTTGATTTAACTCGCCTTTCATGCTACGATTAGGAAAATTACACGCCATAATAATAACACAACAAACAAAAAGGGATGGGAGGTCCTAATGAACCCACCTTATAGTCCGGACCTAGCACCAAGGGATTACCATCTTTTCCTCTCCATGGCGAACGCGCTTAATGGTGAGAAGTTGGCCACAAGAGAGGCCTGTGAAAATTGGCCCTCCGAGTTTTTTGCCAATAGGGACGCAGCCTTCTACGAGAGGGGTATAATGAAGTTGGCATCTCGTTGACAACAAGTTTACGAACAAAACGCCACATATTTAACTTAAATCGGAGAAATGTACACGAAGTTATCATCTTTTGAAATATCAATAAAAAACCGAACGAACTTTTTACTTGACCAATATATGGTATGGATGCAGTTTTTGCTAGATACCTTAAAAGATAAGAATTTCAGTCAAGGTTTTTTATTTATTTGGTTGCCATAATATATTAGTTTCATTTATTTACTGTGATGCTCAAGGCAAAAAGAATAATTGGAGTTGAAAATAATTCATTATTCAATTATTATTTATTAAGTTAAGATTAAATACGAAGTTTTAACAACTTAAATTTATTAAATTGAAATTAAAATGAAATCTTTCATTTCAATGCCACACAGCCTTGTTTGTCCTTCCGAAAATTAATTGGAGTAAGTCCTGGTATATCAAAATTTTCGCAAGGAAAACTCATAGTTTCTACAAAACATGAAATATCTGAAGATAGCATCAAACAGTCGCTTTTTACATCATTAATGTGAGCGTGAAGACTCTGAACATTATGGAATAAAATTGGATGTCCTGATGCTCGGGAAATCATAAAATTGAAACTTGTCGTCAAAGCTTTATTTGTGTTCAATTCCCTCAGTTCCCTACATACAGGATCCGATTCAGAAAACTTGTTAGGAGGAATAAAATTTCCTATGATGAATCGTACTTCTGCAGTAGTAGCTGGACTACAAGCGACATACAAGTATGTTGAAGCTCTAGGCATTCTGGGTCGAGTATGAACTACAACTTCATTATATGTGGCACCCTGACTTCCGCCGAAACAACTGGAAATTGATTTCTTTCAATTGAAATTTGTTCATTTCTTTTATTGTATATTGAAAATATTTTCAAACTTTTTCAATTGGTGTCCAAGAACTTTCTAGAGGATGAGGCTTTTTTGATCGTGCTTTAAAACCAACAGAAGGTTTCAAAAATTTAATCCACAGAATTGTTGGAAAGGAACATTGCAAATCAATATGCTTAAGTTGACCAGCTGCCCCATTAACCAAGCCATCACACGTGTTTATATTCATTTTTAGCGGATGTTTTTAGTGTTAATTCATAGGGCAGTCTCTGCGTTTCAGAAGTTTTGAAAAGTTTAACTCTTTCCAAAATATTTTCATTTTGACTCATACCAATTCCTTTAATTGAGTCTATTGCATTTTAAAACATAGCTTCAGTTTGGATTCGACTAAGCTTAAGGGCATTAAAATTATTTTTCTCTTCATTGGATCACAATAAATGCATGGCATCATCGGGAACTTCTTCGAAATTAACTACTCGAGTTTCAATGAGTGATATAATATGTCCTCATTTATCATAGTACCAGATGCCAAATGGTTTAATGCAATTGCAAAAGCCTGGTCCTCCCGTTGTCTCATTACTTCTTCTAATTCAAAGTATTTAAATAACTCCCACAAAAGGGAACCAACTAAAGTGCTGTATGTATCATTGGGATTAGGAGAGAATATCCACCTATCTCCAACAGGTGAGAGTTGCTTCAAATCACCAAACACTATGATCGGTATACCACCGAAGGGGCTGTCTGTTTTGAAAATTTGTTTTAATCTCGCATCAACAGAGCTAAACATACGAGCACCTACCATCGATATTTCACAAATTATTATTAATTTTAATCGATAAGTCTGGAATACAATGAATTAACTGGGTCATTGCTAAGGGACCTCAACTCTCTATTCAACTGATTAACAGGTAAAGAGAATATTGAATGAAGGGTCATTCCACATTTTCAGAACTCTACCTTACCCGTAGGTGCGCAAAGAAGAACTTTTAGAAACTCGGATTGGATTCAGGTGTAGAATTGTAACGATGGTTAAGTGCTTGATATATTGCAGATATCGAACGACTCTTTCCTACACCTGCACCGCCGCCAATGACCTCATATAATGGGCGATTTGGTTTTAGCTGGTGCGTCAAATGTGTCAAATAGGTTCTTTGCTTAGTATTTAGACTTTGAACTAAAGAAAATAATTTCTCAACTGGAATTAAATGGGGTAGTTTAATAAGTCAAATATTGCAATCAGATTCAGTGCCATTATCTGTTGAATCTTCACCATGCAAGTCCAGCAAATTTATATTTGGGTTTATTTCTGGAGGTGCCAACACTCTTAACTCATTTTCCACTATAGGCATTCATTTTCAGCACCTTCCTCTAAGTCTATTTCATTATAAATACCTTCTAGAACATTTTCAAGTTCTCTTTGCTCAAAAACATCATATTTTCTTTGATTTTTCTCAATTAGAATACGATGTGTTATGCAAGTCTGCTCATTATCGTTTACAATGAGATCTTGCTATTCATTCCGCCATGGATAATAAAGCATTACCATTTCGCGGAAATGCTCAACTCTGGCCAAATCTGGGTTAAACCTTCTATACCGAATAATACAAGGTAGTTAATCTGATGCTAATTTGCACTAAAAACCCACTCGCCACTTTCACTTACACACCTATGATCGAACAAACCGCAAAAATATTAGGACGAAAAAAGATGATTTTCAACGGTAAGTTTAATTTATTTTACACAATCGCTTGGTTTTTAACTGTAATGAAGTTATTTAACACAATCGTTTTCCACAATTAAATGTTACTTTGAATAAGTTTAAAAACGGTGTAGATTTCCGGGGTGGCTCGGAAAAGGCCTCGCCTGATGCGGTTGCGACGGCGATCGATCGATAAAAGGGGCCCGTATCCAGTCGTCGATCCCTTTTGTTGGTTGGGTAGAGTGGTGAGATCGTGGGTGTGTTGGTGGTGTGGTGTGTGTTGGTATTCCTCGGTGAGTTGTGTGAAGTTGTATGTGATGGTGTTTTCGGGAGTGGATGTGTGTTGGAATGTATCAGTGTTGCTTGTAAAGTGGTGTGTGGTGCGTGTACAGGGATGTTCACTGGGAATTCTTATAGTTCATTTAGCCACAAGGTTTGGTACGTTTCTTAACAAAACCGCTACCGTTTTTAAGAGGCATAACAACCCCGCTTTCTGGTAAATTATCGTTTTCCTTCTCTTCTTCGTCATGATCACTGTCTTGTGCTCTTCTACTAGATTTAACATATTTATACATAGATGCAAAATCAGCTAAGCATAGAGTTTCTAACTGATCGAATCTTCGAACATTACGGTCTAAAATATCGGCTACAAATATTTCAGTCGAACCTGAAGGAAGATTCTTAAGTTCTGCTCTAGGTTTCACCATTCAAACACGTTCCTCAGGTCGAGAGGTAGTTATAAATATCTCTGCATTACTTGCTTCCGAAAGATGGACCTCAAGGCAGCAATATAGCTTCATTTAAGAGCCTGGAAACTGCCCTGTTATTTTCCGAACTAAGCGATATCTATCTTGGGTTGTTAAACTATTGGCTTCCTCTTCCGAAATATCTTTAGAATCAACAGTTTTAGGGAGGATGACCAGAAGCTCAACCCACTGAGATTATGCAGCCGATAAAGTGATAAAGAAGGTTGGGAGCCCAAATT